CTCATAATTTCCTGCAGAACAGACAGCTCTGGCACACTACAAATTAGCTTCTATCTTTTGGCTGCTATGGTGTATGTATATGACACAAGGATCTGGGGCACCATTATCGTCCTTTCACAGAATCCCAGATGGTTGAGGTTGGAAAGGGCCTCTGGAGGTCATCTGGTCCAAATACCCTGCTCAAGCAGGGCCACCTAGAGCAGGTTGTCCAGGATCATGTCCAGACAGCTTCTGAATATCTCCAAGAGATTTCAATATCTTTATTCTTGCTCTCTGAGGCCACTGAAGTTTCCCAGGATCCAGTAGGGGTATCCCTTCCATGATGTTCAGTTTTCAGATGTAAAATAAGGAGAGGTTTATAAGTGATACTGTGGGGGTGGAGGGTGACCTTGCTGCCGAGTTCACTTCCCTCCTTCCTCTCCCAGTTTACAGCTGTTTATCACATCAGGCAACTCCCTAAAGGGATGAATAATGCTGGGGGGTGGGGAAGACAGGATAACTGGAAAAGGGTAACTGCCTGCATGCACTAACACTCAGCATTGATGAGGCCAGATCAAGTGACTGAGGGAGGATGTAGCTTTCCACATCTCAAGATGCTGGGAGTGGCTGGTGCCTCTCACTCTTGCTGTGGCTGGGGCAGGGGCAGATGGTCTCCTTGCCAGCAGGAGGTGTGCACCCGTGGAGGATCTGTGTTGCCAAAAGAGTTGCAGGAGGAGGTCAGCAGATTGCAGCATCAGAGATAACAAGAGAGAGACTGACTGGATCTTCTGAGACCCTGCAGCTTCAAGAGCCCAAATCCCCAACTGTACTGAGTCTGAGCTTATCCGGTTGGGAAATGGAGACTCCCACGATGGCAAGGCAGGAATCCTGTGTCTTCCAGGAGCAGGAGGCAGGTGCCTGCTCCACTTGAAGTTCTGCAATTACAAAACAGGTTGAGTGCTCTGGAAGCAGACAGGGGTCTGGGAACTCTCTCCCATGAAGCATCTGAGCTGCCTGAGCCTGAGCCACACAGCAGCACCGGGAGGAAGCAGCAAGTGATCGTAGTAGGAAGAGGCTCCCTGTTCCGGGGGATAGAGGCCCTCCTCCGCCCACCTGACTGCGGTCTAGGGAGCTTCACTGCTCATTGGAAGCTCAGTTCCAGGATATTGTGGAGAGGCTGCCAATCTTGTCTATCTCCCAGACTACGCCCTGCTGCTTTTCCATGTGGGCAACAATGATACTACCAGGGGAGACCTGGAGCCTATCAAGCAAGGCTACATGGCTCCAGGGGCAACGGTCAAGAGGATGGGGGTCCAGGTGGTTTTCTCCTCTGTCTTGCTGGTAAGGGGGAATGGCTTGAGTAGAAGTGGACTTATCCTGTGCGTAAACATCTGGTTGCACGGCTGGTATCAAGAATAGGGGAATGTTTTTTATGACCGTAGGACCCTCTTTGAAGATTAAGAACTGCTAGGAAGAAACAGGATATACAATAAAAAGTAGGCAAAAGCATCTCTGCCAACAGACTGGTGGCAGTCTATTCTCCTCTGCTGAGGAGAACTTTAAACTAGGAACAAAGCAGAAAAGATGATTAACAACAATCAAATGAGAAAGTGGTGGACTAGGCCTGCAAGCAAAAGGCGTAGAGTAGAGTGGACAGGAAAGCCCTTGCAGTCAACAATTCAGTGCTGAAGGGGGACCACCTCAATCATATAGACATAAATAAGGGAGTACTTACAGGACAGCATAATGGAGGAAGCTCTCTCACCTTTTCTAGGAAATCAGCACAGCTGGGTAGCTCTCTGAAGTGCCTGCATACTACCGCACAGAGCATGGGGAACAAATAAGAAATTAAAGAGCATGTGTGCATCTGCATATGTAAATCTCATTGAGATTTGGTGAGAGACACATGGTGGGTTAGCTTAAAAGATGAGAGTGCTGCTATGGATGGATACAGGCTCCAGAAGGGAGAAATGCTCCACGCAACAGGAATGCATGGAGCTCTGCTCTCAGACAGATAATGAGTCAGTTGAGAGTTTACAGGTTAGGATTAGAGGGCAGACCAACGTGGGTAATCTTCTGGTGGGTGTCTGGCACAGACTGCCTGATTAATAGGAAGTAGAGAGGTTTCTGGACTGCACTGATGATAAATTCCTGGCACACGTGATCAAGGAGCTGAGAAGGAAAGGCACTTTCCTGGACCTGATAACTTACAAACAAGTACATACTGGTTTGGGATGTGAAAGCTGGGGATAGCCTTGGCTGCAGTAATCACAAGATGATGGAGTTCAGGATCCTGAGAAAAGGGAACAATGCAAATAATATGATCACAATCCTGGACTTCAGCAGAATAGAGTTTGAGCTATTCAGGGATCTGCTTGGAAGAATCCCATAGAAGATAGTCCTGGAGAGGAATCCAGGAGAGCTGGTTGGTTTTCAAGGAGCACCTCCTCCAAGCTCAAGAATGGTCCATCCCAATAAGCAGGCAGTCAAACAAGGGTGGCAGAAGGCCTACACCAAAGACCAAGATGCTCCTTATAAAATTCAAGTGTAAAAATGAAGCATACAAGAGGTGGAAACAGGATCATTGCAGCCCAGGAGGAATCCAAAGACACTGTCACAGTGTGCAGGAATGATGTTAAGAAAGCCAAAGCCCATCTGGAATTGAATATGACAAGGGATGCGAATGCCAACAAGAAGGGCTTCTACAGGTATATGAGCAGCAAAAACATGACGAGGGAAACATGGCCTCTTAGCTGAAATGGGCAGGGGACCTAGTGACAAAGGATGCCAAAAAAAGCTGAGTTACTCAGTGCCTGCTTTGCATGGATCTTTACTGGTAAGACTGACCTTCCAGAATCACAGGTCCCTGAGGCCAGGGCATAAGTCTGGAGTAAGGAAGACCTGCTCTCAATACAAGAGGATCAGGTTAGGGAACACTTAAACAAAATGGACATACACAATTCTATTGGACCCGAAAGGATGAACAGGATGAAAGAGAAAATGTTTTTACTGTGAGAGTGGTCAAACACTCAGAAGGAACAGGTTGCCCAGGGGAGTTGTAGAGTCTGCATCCTTGGAGATATTCAAAACCTGAATGGACATGGTCTTAAGCAACCTGCTCTGGTTAACCCTGCTTTGAGCAAGGGGCTGGACTAGACAATTTCCTGAGGTCCCTTCCAGCCTCAACTACTTGGCGGTTCTGTGAATCTGTCCTGTCGGTGGTGAATGAATAACACAGACTGAGTGGGACGTATCAGACCAGAACTCTTACACACAGAGTGTGAAGTGGTGTCTATTTGTACAGAAAGTAGACAAGCTGAAGCAGGATGCATGCTACACTAGAACAGCATTTCCAGTCAAGGACAAAAGAATGTGGCATAGTGCTTCCACTGCAAACCACTCCTGCTACCTCCCATTATGGATGTGATCTGCCCACCCGGAAGGTCCCTGAAACCTTGACAGTTTAAAATAAAAACAGGTGATTGTATTTGACCTGCTATGCAGTGCTTTTTCATATACCTACCGCAGGCAATAAATACATAGTCTATTGCAGAAACACAAATACATTATCTATGATAATATTGTGCTTTGCAATATTGTGCATTTGACCAGTGTAAGTAGGAAATGCCATAGGCAGAAAGAGAAGCCTCTCATTATGCCTTAATTAAACTGTCTTTATTAAAGGACTGTTATCTTCTCAGCAAGAGAGGACCCAGACAGAACAACTCCTAACAGCACAGAAAACCAAGGCATCAGCTTGGGTACTGATGTACTTGGATAAACGTAACACCTTTCTCATAATAGAGTAAAACATTTTGCCTTAATTTGGCCAGAACACCAAAGCAAATTTCGGCTTACTCACCTATAACAAAACCAAAATAGAACACAGGTAAAGCAGCCCAGAGTAATACTCTCCAAATGAATAATCCAGCATGGTCTCAACAGATGCTGAATTGACGTTCAGCCCATAATGTTCTCCCACCCATGATCTCTGAGGGAAGAATGCAGTCTGAAGCAACTGGGGAGATCACATCTGCACGGCACATTCAACATTCCATCAGAATCCACAGCACACATTCCATGGCTGGATCTGGGAGGATGCCTCTTTAGCCATCATCCCCTTTATGGTCATTCTTTCATTCTCTCTGTATTCATAAATATTTAATTACCTGTGTCATATCTCAAATGACATTATAGTTAAGATGATGTCCAAGAAGATATCAGTTTATGTTACCTCAGGCAGTGGAAGGATAAGAACGTGGTCACTCTCCAAAGTGAGTAAATACCTTGATTGATCATTGAAGCCCTAGGTTAAAACTGGTCGCAATATTTCCTTTTCTGCTCTCATTCTGTAAGACAATACTGACTTAACTTTCTAAATGCAGGAAAAGGATGCAGCTGTCTCTTCAAATACAAATACAGGAAACTAACTTTGATGGAGAAACAGGGCTTAATCTGTTCTACTGTTCATAACATTTTCTACAGGTAGCTTCCAGTGATGACTGTGCAGTTATATTTTAGAATTTGCTTTATGAATTTGTAAGTTTCAGGCATGGCTCTATTAGCACTGCAGTACTTATTTGCTGCTGAAGTTTCACGGACAAGATCTACTGCCTACAGAAAGACAGTACACAATGCACAGCCATAATAATTCACCAGTGGAATTTGACTTTGTACTCCAAACTACAGAAATAACACAACATTAGATGACAAAAAAGAAATCTTAAAAAGATGTGTATTTTTGGATAAGCAGAACTAGTTCTTCTCAGCTAGCTAGGAATGTAAAAACGCAAATATACATTTGTGCATGTGTGCTTCAACACAAGTCATAGGACAGACATGAAAAATTTTAGGTCAAACATTTTAGCTGCCAGAATAATCAGCTGAAAACGTAAGAACATAAGAGAGCATGACTGGGGAGAAAAGCAACAGTCAAACATGTGGCGTAAATGCTCATTTAGAATTTGCAATTTTTTCATTCTGTTACAGTTTGCCAGAGTTTGATGCCCCCAGTGTGGAATATGGCATCCAAGACAAAGCAGATGAAACAAGACACCACGCCTGCTGGGAAAAATAAGCAAGGAGTAAGAACCAAGAATGGAGATGCAGCTAAAGGAATAAGTGACATGGAAATACTTGCCAAAGAGAGGAAGTCGTACTTGCAGAAGGAATACAAGATTCTCACTGAACATATGAACACATACATGGGAAGAGTGGAACACTTCCTGCAGGAAAATAAATTCCTAGAAAAGGAAGCCCAACGGAATCAGGAAGAGAGCAACGCTTACCTCTCTTACATAACAAAACACAGCCAGAAGTGCCAGGATCTGATAACAACATTAAATGATCAGAATCACACTGACCTGTCTCAAGTCTGGATGCATAAAGAGGAGCTAATCTTACAGTATACAGAGAAAGAGAAGGAGGTAAGGAGCGCTCTGATGAATTTGGAGACAAAGTACTCTCTTATGAACAAGGAGGTTGAAGACCTGAAGCCTTTCAAAGATCCATCTGTTCAGCTGGAACAGATGGAGAAGATTAAAGAGCTGGAGAAGGAACTGTTGGTCACAAAGATACAGCATTCAGATGAAATGCACAAAATGAAGAGCAGATTTCTGCAGGCCAAGGCTGACTGTGAGATGGACTTCCATCAGAAGATCCAGGTTCTCACCAAGAGAGCAGAAGAAGCAGCGATACAATCTCTAATTCAGCATATCAAACAAGTAAAAGTAGAGAATTGGCATCTGCGCCAGGAATTGCTCAGACTCATCCAATACTCAAAAATCCTTAAAGAAACCAAAGTTCAACTGAGAGAGCAGCAGCAGCAGCTTCTTCGAGAGAACCAATACACTCAGAACGTGGCACACATGCGTCAGTGGTTGCACCAGCATGAGGCACACAATGCAAATGGTGAAACCTACAGCTCTCACAGCCCCTTCAGATGTGTCCATCAACCTAAAAACCCACTTCCCCACTCCTCACTCATGCCAATACATCAGTAGACATAGCTGGACTGTCAGCTGTTGGCACTATTAGTTAGGTAACAGAGTATACAGAAATAAATGTTCTGTGGGTGAATGAAAGGACTGATTTACATAGCTCATGCTCACCATGCAATCCAGACAACAGATCTTAGAAGTGATCTTAGCTTTAACTTTCGTGACATCTGTATTAGGACATTTGAAACAGCAATCCCTTCATGTCCCAAAATAAACAATGACATTTTCTCTCTGAGATCAGACTTTGATGTTTCATTAAATAGTAAGCTTCCATGGGCAAATTATATTCTTAAACACAGTGAGGCAATCTCTATATTACTTTTCACTGCAAACTACATCTACTAATACCATAGTACGAACCAACGTAGGCCAGCTCTTACTTTCAGAAACATTCATTTTCCTGAATCTTCTACATGGCAAAGACTTTCTTTTACCTTCTGCTAGTCTCCAAAGGAGAGAAAATAAACATGCAAGCAACCAAATTCTTTAAACAATATAAGCAGTTAAGGTATTTGACCCTTGGTCATAACTAACAATAAAATATATTCAGCAAATATATTCGTATCAATTTTTACTTTCTTCTCATTCTTTTCTTGCTTTAACGTTTCACTTCAGAAGCAAGAGCTAAAGAGTTCTGTTTCTGATAGACTGCAGCTACATTCACTTTCCAAGTTGAACGCTTTGGGATTTCGATTACCCCATCAACAATGACACCAGAGGTCACCCTTACTCGAAGTTTTCACATTCACACAGGGATATTTTATACAGAAGCATACCTCAGTTGAGATTGGAAGAGACCTCAAAGGAGAGTCAACCACAGCAGGGCCACTTTCAGTGGCTTTTGAGCATCTCCAAGGATGGAGACTCCACAGCCTCACTGTGCAGTGTATTCCGGTGTTTGACCACATCCACAGCAAAAAAAGTTTTTCTTACATTTAAATGGAATTTCAATTCTATCACAAATTTCAATTTCAGAAGAGTCTGGCTCTGTCTTCCCCCCTGCTCCACCTGGTATTTAAACACACTAGTAAGATCCCCTGAGCCTTCTCGAGGCTAAACAATCCCAACTCTCAGCCTGTTCCCATATCATAGATGCTCCAAGCCTTAATCATTTTTGCGGTCCTTTGCTGGACCCAATCCTGTATGTCCGTGTCTGTCTTATACTGGGGAGCCCAGAACCATACTAAATACTCTAGGTGTGGTCTCTCAGTGCTGACTAAAAGGGAAGGATCACCTCCCTCAAAGAGCTGGCAAGGCTCTTCCTAGTGCAGCCCAGGACAATATCCACCACCTTTGCTGTAAGAGCACATTTGCTGGCTCACGGTCCACCTGGTGTCCACCAGGACCTCCAGGTCCTTTCCTGCCAAGCTGTCTTCTAGCCTGAGAGCTGCCAGCCTGTACTGCTGCATGGGATTACTCCTCCGCAGGTGCAGGACTTGGCATTTTCCAGTGATGAAGTTAACAAGGGGCCTCTTGGCTCATTTCTCCAGCCTGACAGGATCCCTCTGAATAGCAGCACAACCATCTGCTCTGTCAACCACTCCTCCCTGTTTTGTATCATCTGCAGACTTGCTGAGGATGCACCCTAGCCCACCATCCAGCTGATTAATGAAGAAGCTAAACAGTACTGGCACCCGTATTGAGCCCTTGGGTACACCACTAGTGCCGGACCTCCAGATGGACTTCATGTCACTGATGACAAACCTTTGGTTCCAGCAGCCCAGCAAGTTCTCAGTCTGTCTAATCATGCACTTCATTAGTCTGTACTTACTCAGTTTGCCACAAGGATGTTACGGGAATCAGTGCCTGCCAGAGCATGCTACTAGCAAGGAAAGATTTGCACTGTAGGCATCAGCAATAACGGTTGCCAGATTTAAAACAAAAGTAGGAAAAGTATTTACAGTGCATTCGACCGATATCAGCTGCGGAGAGCAATGTCTGACATCCCCCGCTGACACAAGCGCACTTCTTTAAAGTTTATCAGATGAAGGCACAGGATGCGCCACGCCGGAGAAGTTTTACACTGCGCCTGCGCCACTCCTCCGCCGCACTCCTGGAAGCGGAGAGGCGGCTCCG